CTGTGAAATTTTAAGGCCGCAGTGATGCATACTTTTTATACAGTTTAATGTAGTTTTGACCAATTATCGTAAAAGATCTAATTTGTCGTGTTTTACTGTCTGGGATTTTGATAATTATTACATTTTCTTTTTCCTCAATGCTCACAGCCTTCATTTTTACCATTTCGTCGCATCGACAGGCGCCGGTAACCCCAATTAACAAAACAATCTGAAATATTTTATAATTTAGTAGAGTATACTACATGCTTTGCAATATAATTTTTTTTACCTTTAATCCTAAATACAACTTATCTGGCGCTTCAAACAAAAATTTATCAAACTCGTCTTTAGTGAATACTTTAGATTTCTTTGCAGTACATCGTTCGCTTGTTTTTTTCACAAAGGCACGTAACTTTAAAAATTTGCTTATATCCACATTTTTTCTAATAACTAGCTCGGATTTTATCATAGAGTATCGTGACCACATTGTAGAAGATTTCCATTTATTTTCATTTTCCATTACATTAAAATATGCCAATAAAACGTCTTCGGTAACTTGCCGTACTCCTCTTGTATCGCACCACTCTTGGAAGTGCTTGTACGCTAACCGATACTTTATTCCGGACTTGGAGGGCCCCAAACGTGCTACCGCATCATTAGTCGCGGACTCAATTTCATTTAGGTTTTCCATTTTCGCACTAAATTTGCGCTTGCGGTTGCAACAACAATAAGCTCTCTATAATAATTGCAAACAACTGTCAAACAACTGTAACCAGGGAGACGCAAATCCCACCGACGACTTAATTATTTTAATTTCTAACATCTAGACAACTTTGATAGTTGTCACAGTTAATTTTGAGTAAAAATAGCGTATGAATTATTGTACTATTTATGGTTGAAAAGTGCTACGTTTGAAGAAAAAATAGTATACTTTATTACTACTACTACTCCGCCTCATAAAGTAATATACTATTGTTTTATTTCTAAATAATAATATAAATAATAACAACCTACCCTATTTTATGTAAAATCTATCATTTATAAACTCTTTGCAAAATGCAGGAATTCAAAATAATATCAAAATTTGGACCTTAATAATTATTACAATTTATGAATTAACATATAATTAATTGTTTGTTATTTGTTTGTTTATTTTATTATTTGTCTGTCATAATAAATATAACATAATGTCAGACCAACCAAATACACTGCTCAAAATGATCAAATTTTACTAAGAGTAGCATCAGTTTTTTTAGGAACCAGCTGTACAAGTAGTATCGAGGTTTGATTATAGTGGAATGTTCTGTAGGTAAATTATTACAAAATGGCGGATGGATTGGTTTTACGTTTACTTTCAAATATATTTAAACGAAAAATAGTCAAAAAAGTAACTAAAACAGACATTTTATTAAAAATCAGTCGACGTAGGTAAAACAAAAATTTATGAGAGTTCATGACCTGTAAGCTCAGCCTTTATTTTGAGTTGTTATAAAAAGAGAGTGTCCACGCGTTTGAAGCAGCCAATAGTAGGAAACATATGAAAATTTAATAAAAAAAAACACCTTCTAGAAGGTCGTAAAACCTACAAAGACTTATTCCATTTCCAACTTTTGCTTTAATATTAAATAAATATTTCATTAAACGTTGGTTTTTGTTGTTTATAAGGGGAAGCAACAAAATATACACATATGTGTGTCTATATATGACTGAGTTCTCAAAGATTTACCAATTTCCTTCTCTTCTGTGTCAAACGTTCACTACTCGCTCTTCCAGTCACGTTTAATGATAATCTTTTCGTTAAATATTTTGTTTTACATCATGTTTCAGAGCTTTTCGAACGGATTTTATTGTAGAACGAATTGTACTAAATTGTAAAATGTTGAATTTTCCAGGTTCTTTTTGGTAGAAATTAATGAGACTATATCTCTCACTGCATTATTGATTCATCAGCTAACTTGATTTTCGCGATAATTCAAAGTGGTGCAGTTTGTGGCTCCAACCATGAACTTAGCAAACTACTCACTTTCATTCAAGTAAATCTTATAAGACTGAATTACAAAATACATAAGAGAATCCTCATGATGTTTAATTATAATCGTCGATCTTTGAACACTACGGCAGTATAATAGGTAAAATACTATAATATGTTCTTTGTTGCTCTTGATGTCCTTCTTCCTACTTGTATGTAGACTTTAAAGCTTGTTTCTTCTTCAATATTAGTCTTCATAAATTGTTTAAATTATCGCACCATCTTTTTCTTGGTCTGCCAATACTTCTTCGTCCATTTAGTGACTTACTCGTGCTATTCGTACTATGCTATCCTCTGTCATTCTACTGATGTGTTCGTTCTACTCTTGTTACTTCTACTACTCGCTTCTCCCTCTATCCAACAGACTTTTCCCTGATACTCGTCGAAGTATTTTCATCTCTGTTTCGTCTCGTTTCAGATGTATCACGTCTGGTCTCCGCCGTGTATGTTAATATAGGTCTAAATGCTACTTTATAGATTCTTGTTTTTGTGTGTTGTCTCAGGTATTTGTTCTTCCAGATTGTGTCATTAAAAGATCCCGCCGCTTTATTACTTACTTTTAAGCATTGTTGTCGTACTTCTTCTACAAAATCTCCGTAACTAGTTATATCTATGCTCAAATATCTAAACCTTGCTTCCTGCCTTATTATTTTCTAATCAATTTCGTAACGAAATTGATTATTAGCCTATTCTGTAACAATGACCTTTACGTACTGCCTGTATTATTATTATTATTATTATTATTATATTAAAGAGAAGTGGGCTTAACGAGTCACCCTGTATGACTCTGCTTTGTACTGGTATATACTGTATTAGTTTTCCATTTATCTTTGTCTGTATTTGATTATGGAAGTAGATATTTCCGATGATTTGTATAATATTGATTGGTATGTTTCTTTTATAAAGTAGGTGTAAGACGTCTTTGAATTCGACTTGATCTGAATCCTTGTGTTGTTCACATGATAAAGTTGTTAGTTTATTGATTTTGTTGGTTAGGACGTTTGTGGTAAGTTTAAGTGCCATGTTCAGTAGATTTATACCTCTATAATTGTTGGGGTCTTTTTTATCTCCTTTATTGGACATTGGTATTATTATGCTGTTTCTCCATGCCTCTGGTATCTTGCAGTGCAATATTAGTTTTTGTATAAGTTTTGTCATCTTTAGGGTTATACTTTGTCCTCCGTGTTTTTGGAGAGCTCGTTGGTTATTCCGTCTGGTCCTGGCGACTTTCTATTTTTGAATGAATTCATGGCTATCTCTACTTCCTGAAAACAGATTTCTATGTCGTGTCTTAATTCAGGTACATTATTGTGTTGATTATTATTATTTTTTTCGTTTAAACAGTTCCGTTAGGTATCTTTCCATTCGTTTGCTGGTATGTTATTGAATTCCTTCAATTCTGCCATTTTTTTCCATTGGTTTCTTATGAATCTCCATATTTGTTTTTGTGTACTGTAGAAGTCGCTTTCCATTCTTTTTGTAAACTGTTCAAAGTGTTCATTTTTTGTTCTTCTTACCAACTGCTTTGTTTCATTTCGTATTCGTCTATAGGTGTCTCGGGATTCTGGAGTATTTGATGTTTTTTACTTCGTTTAGGCCTCTCGTTTCTCTTTACATTTCTCTTTTATTTCTTTTCTGAACCATCGTGTATTGTTGTTTCTTTTGTTCAGTATGACTTTGCGTCTTCCTAGAGCTTCTGTTGCTGCTTCTTCAATGTTGTTTTTAATTTTCTCCCAGCTCGCATTTATATCTTCGATGTCGTCTATTTGTTTCAGCTGTATCTTCTGCGCTAGCCTTATTTAGTACATTTCTCTTGTAGACACTTTCCACAGACTTCTATTATTTTCATTCCTATTTTTGCTATTACTAGTTTTTGTTCACTCCCTACGTCGGCTGAGTTTAAAGTTCGGATATCTAGAAGCTGCCTTGGGTGGATTTTTCTATTAGTGGCTATAAAACCAGATTTGTGCCCCCTGGAATTTTCAAATGTATATTTATACTGGGATTATGGTCGAAAAATGTATTATTGATTCTTATAAAACTCTACTTTATTCGTTAAAAGTACAGAGATTAGCCATGTGTTCTCCATTTGCGCTTCCATCTCCATGTTTTTCATTCAATCTTTGTTTTACTCTATTGGAACTATTTTATTTCCGATTCGTGCATTAAAATCACCCATAAGAATTAAGGGTTCTTCATGAGGTATTTACAATGTCCTGATTTGCTAAAATCCTGAAAGAATGTTCTTTCTTTCACAATCCATAGTACGAACTTTTCCTCATCGAGTGCTTTCGCGGTTTTTTTGACCACACCAAGATCAGAAATTAAAATTGTCTTATTTCTTTCCTCTACGTTTTATTTGTCCTTGACAAATTACCTGATTTAGCTTTTTTCGTACCAGTAAAGTTGTTTTTCGAATAAAAGTGGTATACAAAAGCGCTAACAAAAGTGCTTAACGTCTGTGAACTTGCAGAGCCAAAATAATCTTACTTTCATCAACAATATTGATAATTAATTTATTGATCTTTTATAACGTGGTAACACCGAAAAAATAGAAGTAAAAGGTTAAATGCTCAAATTATCTTCTTTTTTGCATGTTCTGCTATTACACACGCCACAACTTAAGTAGTTCATTGATACATGAGAAAATGATGTCGCCCATGGTTTTACCACCACCGGTCATGAATTGCCATTAATTTTTGCTACTAATATATAAGCGCAGCTTTATTGTACTGTCATCCTAAAGTTCATTTATTTTTTTCAGTATAAGTTCATTGGTGGAGGCTTCACGAATCATATTCCGTACTTATCGGTGTCTAAGATGTTATCGTTTTATGTATTACCTACTTTTTCACACTCATTAGACTGATATTCGGTGTGCTTTGAAGCCAGCTCAAAGAATAATTCGCTTACGTACACCCACACACGACATCTGTGCTTTCTTAATGTTATGGGTGGTTCGGTGTTGAGTTGACGTTAGTGCTATTATGGTATGGACGACAAACAGTAATGTACTTATTGAAATTTTATTCGATTATTTTGATTTTACTCAAAAAATCAGTGTCGTTCCTATGGAACGATTACTTCATAACTGCCATCTCTATATAACAGTATCATCGCCATTTAAAGTTATTTGGTATAATACATGTCTCCTAACTATTTTCCGATTAATTACGCGTCATTTGGTACATAACTGTTTGTTGTTTTTACTACGATATTATCATGGTTAATAGATCTTTCTGTTTTTAAATTGTGATTAGTTTTAAAAGATAAAAGATATATTTTTACGAGTGTTACACTGTGAAATATCAACAAAATGTAAATCAAGTAGCAGTCAAAAAATATACTAAACGACGAAGCTACATTGCTAAAAATAAAATAAAAAACGAAAACTCACCAGCTTCATACGCACTTATGACCTACATTAGGTCTTTTCAAAATCTTTTTTGTTCATATAGTGTTCCTTGAGCAACAAAATTTTGGATTCTTCTAAGGAGAATTCCTTCCTCCGTTGGTGTAGTATCCAATCAAGGTGTCTCATGCATATTCTAATCTTTGTATAAGCTTTACTATCTTGTTTATCACTTTTCCATGATTTCCTATACATTCAACTTTCTAAAATGCTTTTTCAAATTCGGTTTTGCAAAAATATGAACTTTTTTTATTGTCGCTAATAGTTTGCATTGTCAAAAATCATTTTCTGTTCATTTATATTATAGATGCAAATACATTTTTGTTCTGTATTGTTGAAGTTACAAGAATGAGTTACAAGACGTTTGTACATATAAAAAATTTAAAAAATTCTTTTGTTACAATTGATTGGTTTAATATAGGCGGGAAGGAACACTTGTTCAAATATATCTCTTTCTTATTAACAAAAACAAGATCCTGAGCTTAATTAACACATTAACAAAACTGTTTATCACTTGGTTATACTCGTATGAAGTCCATAATGGATCCATTTATTCCATGGGCAATATTTAACAGTTTTTGGGAGATTTTCTTTTGTCCGGTTGATTATGTTCAGTAAGGTGACAGATCTGTCATTTTTAGATTGGTTAATGTAAAGAGGTTGCTATCATAACCAGAGATTTGTCAGGTCAGTCCATAACTAAGTCCTTAAAAATTTTCTTTTTGTATGGAAATAGTCTTTTTAGCCGCAAATGTTGTTTTCTTTTCAGTTTTCCTTAATTATTTCGAAAATTTTTTGGTTTTTTATCAGGTAGAACCATATATTGCTGCTTTTATCTCATCCTCTACTGCATTGGCAACATTATTTTGTCATTTTCCGTGCTTTCAACACTTTTTTACGTCATTCTTGCATGTTCTGTTTTTTATACATTGCGCCTTAATTTTCAATTTATCAGCTCGTCATCAAAAAAATGAGAGATTTAAAATTTGAAGAATTGGAAAAAACAAAAGTATAGTTAATGTTTTAATTCTGCGCAGGACTTTTTATTATATTAATTCTGTTTTGTGTTATTTATTCAGTCTTTTGGAGAAATGTACGATTTTGTTCCTATTGGGAATTCGGTGGAAATTATTTTCAGGCGTGTATTATATATCACATTTCATTTAACGATGAAAACACTTTTCACCACTGTTTTCCGTGAAAGCAAAACCGTGTTATTTATACTTGTATACAGAGGAAAATTCGTATTTTTGTTCACTATTTTGAAAATATCTAATGAAGGTCAAAATTATGTTTAAACATACGAATTTGTACAAAATATATTTGGAACTGGCAAAATAGAAACGAATCAAAAAGTATTATCAAGTACGTAGCGAGAAAATAAAAGTCCAAGGAAGCCAAATCTGGTGAATAAGGAATACGTTACAACTCATTCTTTTGTTTTCTTCTCTTTTATTATAGTCAACTCTGCTTCCGGCTGTTCTAGAACATTCTCTGTTGCTGATTCAACGAATATCTTCGTTTTCTTCCTCATAAATAATTACAATGCTAATTTAAATCTAGAATTACATCTGTTATTGTATGTTCTTGTTCTCCTTTCGTATTTGTTCACAAAGATTTGTATAGTTTTTAAAAAGTTTTCGTACTCGTCTATCTTTTTTCTTTGATGCTTAAGATTAATTGCTTAAGCGTCGTGCCAAAGCCTTTTATTAGCATTATGCTTGTTATTGGACAAATTATTCAAACAACTTATATTGAAATGTATGTAGTTCGTCTTTCTGTTTCTGTATATCTTCAATTTTTCTCCCCTTTTGCCAGTTACCAAAATATTTTGACCTCAAATATATGAAATTGAAAGTTACGTATGCATTTTTGTTACTATATTATTAATCGTTGATTTTTCACAAGTATAAATAATCTATTTGTATATTACATGTATAGAGAATTTGTATGGATATTTGAATAAACGTTTATTATTGTTAAAAGGTGTATATTACAGAAAATATATATATTGAATACAATATTGTGTATTTATTTTCCCTGGTTCTAAAAATTAGTTTTATGTATTTCGACTATGTGAAAGAAGGAAAAGAACAAACACTGTCAAGATCACAAATCACCTACCTCGTCAACATCATAACAACTGACAATTAATAATATTCTGCATCAGGAGAACAGAAACGTAAAAAGGCTTAAAAGAATCACATGTATGCTTTTAATATTAAACCTACTGTAAAAAAATCAAAACCTTTTCAAACGTCTGAGGTGCCCACTGGGAACTCGACGGGAAGGCAGCTTCAGACACAATTGGAAAAAATGACAAACTCATATAAATGTTTTAGAAATTATTTCAGAGATTGGCAAAAGGGCTACAATTTCTGTAAAGAAGCACCAGATGATATCTTTACGATGTGTAGAACAATTATAATGTACTTTAGATGATATTCTCAAAAATATCTTAAATCCATCATCACATTTACAATGATTCTCTCAATAGTACATTTCTTTTGTTTTACAGTCCCAATTTAACCAGCACGAGATCTTCAATTTCAATAATCTTATTCCATTAAGCGGTGCAGGCATATAAACAACGATAAATTAACAGATAATGTTAAAGATGTTCCAAATGAGTCTACTCGTTCCGATAAGTAACAGTATAATTATGACACTTTATTATTTTTTCTTTCTCAAATATCGTGTTTATCTGCATAGTAAATAAATTAATGTTATCACTGAATACAAAGTAGTGAAAAATACTCGATTTATAAAATTAATGAATATTTTATGCATAAATGCAAGTAACAGTTCTTCAAAAATATTTAAAAACGAACCGGAATGTCCATCTTTATTTCGTCTGGCGATGTTATCGGCGGTTCATACCGGTTCGGACACGATTTAATGTTTATATTTTCCTGCACCGCTTAATGAATTTTACTATAGCTCCTGTCAAAATTTTGCTGTGGTTCTTCTAATACTTTATTATCAGAGTTTTTGCCATTTTCAGCATCAGTTGTCTTCTCAGTCTTCTTATTTTCAAAAAGTAGTTTTCTTTCGTAGATTTAGTACGTTCAGCATTAGAGTTGGTGGTTTCTTTGTTTTTTTATTGTTTTGTTTTTCTGTCAGAAGAAGCTTTTCTGTGGTGTCAGTTATTATTCTGCCTTTTCTCTTGGTTTCTTGGAGCTAGTATACTTAAATAACAGCCAGGCTGTTGAGAGGGCATAGGCGTAGAGTTTTGGCAGCTTGACGTTGATGGAGTGTCTATTGGTTGCTGACAGTTTTCGCTCGAAATTTGGGGAGATAAGAGTGATTTTTCAGATTCTAAAGTTGGTAGACTTGCAGCTAGTTGGCATGTTAGAGGTTCATCAGGAAGAGTTTAGTCTGGAGGATTAGGTCTCTCACTGACCAATCTGGGAGCGAACATATCGTCGGTGAAAATGTGCATGTCAACTGAAAATATTCCTGTTTTTTTGAAAGAATTTATGCTCTGTGGTAACAAGGCACGGCAATGTGCTCACACGCGGCCACGTGATAGATTCCAAAACGTTGGCTTGGGTTAAACTTCAACCATGAATCAATTGCAGTATTATAATATGTTTAAAAAGGTTTCATCAATCCCACATCCAGTGGTTGCATCATGTGGGTACAATGGGGGGGGGGGGGAACTGTTAGAATGTGCACACCATTAGCTCTTGCTAGTTCTATTGCCTCAATTGACAAGTGGCTCTCATGATTAGTCGCAAATAATAGGCATTCTTCTCTTTTCAGAGGAACCTGAACATTTTATAAAGTGCTGCATCACATTTACGAAATTGGGAGTGGTCATCCAACCTGACTGATAAGACAAACCTAAGGTTCCCGTTTGGTGCTCCATTTATCATGTATCTCTTGAAGTGCACTCTCAGAAATACTAGAGCAGGAGGTATTGTATTTCCAGCTGCATTTATAAACAAAACTGTAGTAACCAGAGTTCCTCTCTCACCATTTACAGCAGCTGCTACTTGTTTTTGGCCTTTTTGGGAAATCACACGAGAAGGTTGTTGGTTAGTTTCAGTTTTTGTTTTATCCATATTCCAAATCCTGGAGAGTCACAGAGTTCTGGATACCTTTTGATTAATTTTCCATAATTATTAAGAAAATCATTCACGTTATATTTGTTAAAGGAAATTGCACGTGCAATTTCATCCCCATCTTGGGTGGCATTGCATAAAACCGTATACCCGGTCCTTTCCTGCCATTCTTGGAGCTTCCCAGTTTTTAGGACAGTAATATTGTTCATTTTGGCCATCTCATGTGCAAGTTTTCGAGTTTCTAGATTGTTAAGGCCATAAAACATTTTTGAACACTTAATTAAATATGACTCAACTTCTTAACGTACATACCAACTGTTTGATATTTTAATCCAAATCTTTTAGCAGCATTTCTTATCGATTCACCATCTAGCATTGCCGCTATACATTCTTTCATAGATTCGGCATCGAAATTTCCTTTTGTTGTTTCTTTCTTCCTATTTCTTATCATCCTAAGACAATCTGTAATAAACAGAAACATTTTTTAAATAACCAATAATAAATATATATAACTAAATATATATATAACTTTTGAGCACGGTATTTCAAAAAAGGTGTCTCTATTTTTCATTGCGTTTGTATGATAGTGCCCCATACCTCTTTGTCTGAAGGTGCCCCACTTGATGTGTTCAGACTAAATGTAAAAATATAATCTAAGAGTGCCATCAGTAACAAATGTGAATAGTACAGGTTATACTGCAATAAATTTAAAACTGGTAGCAATGTTAATTATCCTAAGTCTTATCTTTTAATAAAAAACTCGTCTTACTTTCAATC